TTGTGTTAGGTTAACTACTACTTCTGGCGGATCAGGAGGGTTTGAGTGTGTTAGGAATATGGCCCCCACAATCAGACGGCTACCAACCGTCAGGAGACCTGTGAATCCCCACCCTCGCCCTGAGAACATGTCAGACGCCAGAGGCCAACCCATTGCTTTACCTTCTATCGAACTCACACAGGGATGATCAGACAGGGTAAGGGAATCTTCGTTAAGGAGCCAACCCCCGAGCCCTAGTGGTGATCGGTTCTTTCTCCTAACTCTGTGTTTGTTCGTCAGGTGTAACTGGGTTTACCTTTTTACAGTGGGTGACATGCACCCAGGTGGATCTTTCCGCAATTCTTACAGCGAAGGCCGTCACCAACAGGACCTGATATGGACCTTCCCAACGGGGCTGCTTCCAGTTTTTCTTCTTTAAGGATTGGATCCACACCCAGTCTCCAGGTTATATAGAGTGGGTCACCTTCTCCTTTAGTTCACCTGTGGGGCACAAAACCTCTGACATACAGGTGTGGTTAATAAACTACCTTCTCACGTGTTCTGCTAGGGTGCTCTCTAGTTCTATGTCTGCCTGTCTGGTCCTGCCAACTGTGGCATTCTGTAAGGTCTTCCAAACACCTTCTCAAACGGGGATAACCCATCTTTATCTGGGGTTGCTCTAAATTTCTTCCCTTCACTCCGTGATAACTCTATAAATTCCATTTTCAATTGCTGGAAATGGTACTTAGCCGGAGGATACTCACCCTGAGGTGCCCTTTGTCTGCCCTGGTGATTATTTTGAGCACAGATAACACATCTTGAACAAAAGTTTATTTTATTTTTTATAATTAGTAATCCCATATGCAACAAAGTGTTGACTAATCTGCTCTACCATCCATCCCTCCTTTTGACACATGTCACTGCCCATGTGTCAATATTACCACCTACCTAAACAATCACTTAGGTAATATTGGTAATTTATCATCCAATTGCCATCCCTTATTTATTTTTGAGACTGTCCCTTGCTTCTTTATTGCTCCTATCTTCCTGATCTCCTTACTAAATACAGTGGGGAAAAAAGTATTTAGTCAGCCACCAATTGTGCAAGTTCTCCCACTTAAAAAGATGAGAGAGGCCTGTAATTTTCATCATAGGTACACGTCAACTATGACAGACAAAATAAAAAAAATCCAGAAAATCACATTGTAGGATTTTTAATGAATTTATTTGCAAATTATGGTGGAAAATAAGTATTTGGTCACCTACAAACAAGCAAGATTTCTGGCTCTCACAGACCTGTAACTTCTTCTTTAAGAGGCTCCTCTGTCCTCCACTCATTACCTGTATTAATGGCACCTGTTTGAACTTGTTATCAATATAAAAGACCCCTGTCCACAACCTCAAACAGTCACACTCCAAACTCCACTATGGCCAAGACCAAAGAGCTGTCAAAGGACACCAGAAACAAAATTGTAGACCTGCACCAGGCTGGGAAGACTGAATCTGCAATAGGTAAGCAGCTTGGATTGAAGAAATCAACTGTGGGAGCAATTATTAGGAAATGGAAGACATACAAGACCACTGATAATCTCCCTCGATCTGGGGCTCCACGAAAGATCTCACCCCGTGGGGTCAAAATGATCACAAGAACGGTGAGTAAAAATCCCAGAACCACACGGGGGGACCTAGTGAATGACCTGCAGAGAGCTGGGACCAAAGTAACAAAGTCTACCATCAGTAACACACTACGCCACCAGGGACTCAAATCCTGCAGTGCCAGACGTGTCCCCCTGCTTAAGCCAGTACATGTCCAGGCCCGTCTGAAGATTGCTAGAGTGCATTTGGATAATCCAGAAGTTTGGAGGACAAAGAATGCTGAGTTGCATCCAAAGAACACCATACCTACTGTGAAGCATGGGGGTAGAAACATCATGCTTTGGGGCTGTTTTTCTGCAAAGGGACCAGGACGACTGATCCGTGTAAAGGAAAGAATGAATGGGGGCCATGTATCGTGAGATTTTGAGTGAAAACCTCCTTCCATCAGCAAGGGCATTGAAGATAAAACTTGGCTGGGTCTTTCAGCATGACAATGATCCCAAACACACCGCCCGGGCAATGAAGGAGTGGCTTCGTAAGAAGCATTTCAAGGTCCTGGAGTGGCCTAGCCAGTCTCCAGATCTCAATCCCATAGAAAATCTTTGGAGGGAGTTGAAAGTCTGTGTTGCCCAGCGACAGCCCCAAAACATCACTGCTCTAGAGGAGATCTGCATGGAGGAATGGGCCAAAATACCAGCAACAGTGTGTGAAAACCTTGTAAAGACATACAGAAAACGTTTGACCCGTGTCATTGCCAACAAAGGGTATATAACAAAGTATTGAGAAACTTTAGTTATTGACCAAATACTTATTTTCCATCATAATTTGCAAATAAATTCATTAAAAATCCTACAATGTGATTTTCTGGGAAAAAAATTCTCATTTTGTCTGTCATAGTTGAAGTGTACCTATGATGAAAATTACAGGCCTCTCTCATCTTTTTAAGTGGGAGAACTTGCACAATTGGTGGCTGACTAAATACTTTTTTCCCCCACTGTATAACTATATAGCTAGCTAAGTTTCTTAGAAATAGCTTTTTAATTGGCATCTCTCCCCCTGTTTTCGGTCACAGGTGGGGACTGGATTAGGTGTGAGCAGTGCAGGAGGTGGGCTCATGAGCTGTGCTCCAATTTGACTGTGGATAGCTTTATTTGTGACCTATGTACAAATTAGAATCGTGCCATAGCTGAGCATAAGAGAGTTAACACATCAATTATTATTTCCCTTCATAGTTGATTTTCCTAAGCATGACCTTCATCCACATTCCACATTTTTCCCAAACGTTGCTTTTTTGTGTCAGCAATTAGGTATTGTTCTTAGGGGGGTCTAGTTACCCCCTAGTACCCTATAATACCCATTTTATCTGTCATTATTTACATGATGGCATATCTATTGTTTCTCCCTCCATGAATCCACCATGGAGGTTAAAACCAATCACTCCCTCACATCTGGCCCAGTCCAGTTTATTTCAGGCAGTGAAACTGTTCAACTGCTAGACTGGTAGCTGTGGGAGTGAAACTGAGATTTGAATAGACATGGCTGGGTGGTTGTGCTTGTCCCAGAATAGAGTAGCACATTCACCAGATGTTCACTCTGTCCCAGGGGGTTGGAGGTAGAGAATACTCTGACTATCTTGAAGCTGTGATACTTGTAATATTATGTGGATCTTGTCAAACAAATGTATCTTACTGCAGGTGTGATCACATTGGTGAAAGACCAAGATATCGATCAAATGTTCAATGAAGTTAGTTTACTGTCTTTATGAGTCTATAAGTCAAGCAAGTAAAAAACTGTCCAAGAAAGAATAATAAGGAGTTCCATCTACTGAATGTGTCCAGACGTCTCCTGTTAATCTGTTAACATTGTAGTATCTTGACCTCTCCTGTTAATCTGTTAACATTGTAGTATCTAGACCTCTCCTGTTAATCTGTTAACATTGTAGTATCTAGACCTCTCCTGTTAATCTGTTAACATTGTAGTATCTATACCTCTCCTGTTAATCTGTTAACATTGTAGTATCTAGACCTCTCCTGTTAATCTGTTAACATTGTAATATCTAGACCACTCCTGTTAATATGTTAACATTGTAGTATCTAGACAGCTCCTGAGTGGCGCAGTGGTCTAAGGCACTGCATCGCAGTGCTAACTGTGCCACTAGAGATCCTGGTTCGAATCCAGGCTCTGTCGCAGCCGGCCGCGACCGGGAGACTCATGGGCGGGGCACAATTGGCCTAGCGTTGTCCAGGGTAGGGGAGGGAATGGCCGGCAGGGATGTAGCTCAGTTGGTAGAGCATGGCGTTTGCAATGCCAGGGTTGTGGGTTCGATTCCCATGAGGGGCCAGTATCTTAATAAAAAATCTATTCACTAACTGTAAGAGCGTCTGCTAAATGACTAAAATGTAGACCTCTCCTGTTAATCTGTTAACATTGTAGTATCTAAACCTCTCCTTTTAATCTGTTAACATTGTAGTATCTAGACCTCTCCTGTTAATCTGTTAACATTGTAGTATCTAGACCCCTCCTGTTAATCTGTTAACATTGTAGTATCTAGACCTCTCCTGTTAATTTGTTAACATTGTAGTATCTAGACCTCTCCTGTTAATCTGTCAACATTGTAGTATCTAAACCTCTCCTGTTAATCTGTTAACATTGTAGTATCTAGACCTCTCGTGTTAATCTGTTAACATTGTAGTATCTAAACCTCTCCTGTTAATCTGTTAACATTGTAGAATCTAGACCTCTCCTGTTAATCTGTTCACATTGTAGTATCTAGACCTCTCCTGTTAATCTGTTAACATTGTAGTATCTAGACCTCTCCTTTTAATCTGTTAACATTGTAGTATCTAGACCTCTCCTGTTAATCTGTTAACATTGTAGTATCTAGACCTCTCCTTTTAATCTGTTAACATTGTAGTATCTAGACCTCTCCTGTTAATCTGTTAACATTGTAGTATCTAGACCTCTCCTTTTAATCTGTTAACATTATAGTATATTGTGTTACTTTGACCTACAGTTTGATGATGAGGTGTTTTCAAGTGAATAACTAAGCTGTGACATTAGGTCTGATCATTTTCAAAGAAACAGTGAATCAGACTTTACAAATATATTTCTATATCATTCAACATTTGACTAAATATTTTGACAATATTTGTTCCAAAGGGAAGTCTTTATTTTCATCTATTAATCAAAGCATCAAAGCAAACATTCCTACAGTATCTAATAATAATAAAGCAGAACACATCACATCTAACACTAATACAACCTCAGTCTACAGAGAGGATTGACACATGAACTCAAGCAAAGCCCTCTGTTAGTCTACATGTCAGTGATCAATTAGACAGAGAACATCTGATCTCAGAACAGAGTCAAAGCAGAGGAACCAGCAGCCTCTCTCCACAGGGCTGTGTGACTGAGGGGTCCTACCCAGAACAGTCAGCCCTCCTCAGGGTCTTGGTGACTGGAGTCTGGGATTTCTGCTGGGCTTCACAGGTCACCTCTCCTGCCTTGGTCCACTCCTGGGCAGTGAGAGTCAGGGTGCTGCTCCAGCTGTACAGGCCGTCCTTCTCCAGGACCCCGGGACTGGCCTCCTGCTTCTTGCTGGTCCCATCCACTTTCCAGCTCATGGTCCAGTCTGAGGGGAAGCCCTTGTTGGCCAGACACGTCAGTGTGGCTGTTGTTGTACTGGACAGCTCCTCACTAGAGGGGGCCAGGACGGTGAGGGTGGGGACACTGTTACCTGGAACAAACAGAACACATCAACTAAGTAACTACATCAAGTACAGCTTCAGTAAGATCTTCAGCAAAGCAGGGGTGTAAAGTGCTTAAGTAAAAATACTTTAAAGTACTTCTTAAGTAGTTTTTGTAGGGTATCTGTACTTTATTTGACAAATATAAAGACAAATATAAGCACCCACCTAATTACTATTATTTTAAAAACAAGTTCATGCAGGACAAAAAATATTCTAATGATGGGAGCCTACTTGGAAACTGAAATAGATTTGAAACATTCATTTGCATAATGTATCTTCTCCGCTGCTCTAAGATTATATATAGCCCTGTGAGTTTAAGACTTCATGACTGAGAGCTGTCCTTCATGACAACAGAACCCACAACAACAATGACTTTTTTTACCATCTTCATCTGGACACTTGCTTTCTGCTTTCAAAGTTACAATTTTCCGAATGTATTGTTGAAAATATTATTAGATCTACTCCATTTAAATGTATATCAAAGTTAATATTTCTATTCAGTACTTTGAATTACTATACTATTTCATTCACAGACATTTTTTCAGTCAATTTATGAGAATCCAGTGGACAGTACGTTGTGACTCAGACTCCTACAGTGGAATCTGTTCTCCCAGGAAAGACAGTCTCTCTGAACTGTAAAACCAGCAGTGATGTGTATGGTACTAACTATCTAGCCTGGTACCAACAGAAACCTGGAGGAGCTCCTAAACTCCTTATTTACTATGCTACAACACTTCAGTCTGGGACTCCATCTAGATTCAGTGGCAGTGGATCTCTTAGTGACTTCACACTGACCATCAGTGGAGTCCAGGCTGAAGATGCAGGAGATTACTACTGTCAGAGTTTCCACTATCCCAATAGTAAATATGTGTTCAGACAGTGATACAGAGCCGTACAAAAACCTCCCTCAGTCAGACTGATTAGTAAGGAGATCAACATTGAATATGTTTAGAAAGGATCATCATGTTCCCCATCATCATCATCATCATCATCGTTATCATGGTTGTAACTCATTATATTTGTCATGACCTGAAAGTTCACCATCTTCATCTGGACACTTGCTTTCTACGTACAAGGTATACGAATTATGAATATCTAAGTCATGATAATTAAGTAAGTAATGCATGCATATAACAATAATAATGTCTCACAGCATTTCAGAATAAAACCTGATCCCTCTGTCAGGTTGTGAATTTCAAGAGACAAATATACTATATTTATTGAGATGGTATAACATGATTATAACTCCTAATCCCTTAATCAGTGTTTCCCAAACCTCTCCTTAAGTACCCGAGGAAGTCCACATATTATTTTATTCCAGAATTAGTACAGCTGATTTACCTAATGAGGGGCTTGCTGATTAGGTGACCATTAGAATCAGCTGTGCTAGTTCTGGAACACGTCAAATAAGTGGACTGTGTGGGGGACTTGAACAGTCGGCAGGTAGCTTAGTGGTTAAGAGCGTTGTGCCAGTAACCGAAAGGTCGCTGGTTCTAATCCACGAGCCGACTAGGTGAAAAATCTGTCGATGTGCCCTTGAGCAAGGCACTTAACCCTATTTGCTCCTGAGTTTCTGCTAAAGAAAAGGTTTGGGAGACACTGCCCTGAAATGACCTGTGGTGCAGTCAACACAAAACCTCTCTCCTGTCACGCCCTGCTAGAACCTTCCAACACCAGCCCAGCCGAGGCTAGTTTACCAATCAAGGCTATGATTGGCTGGGCAATCAGCCACTCCACTCTTCAAATACACTGTCTCTGTGGGACTAAGAAAGTCTGGAGTTTATATGTTAGTTGTACACCATAGCAAAACGTTTTGCATTGGAAAAAGATTTGAAACGAATACGTGAGTTTCTATTGGACAAAATCAGATAGGTCCCTCCCCGTTTTTTTCAGTTTCCTACTGTTTGCTTCTGTTTGCTTCCGTTAGGCTCCTAGTGAATACACCTTAGGGGGGGGGGGTTGTATTCATTACAGAAACCTTTACCGTTTAAGAACCAAACGGATACTTTATTGCTTAGTTTAATGGACTTTAGAGGTCATAATGGATGTAACTGAAGTAAATTTCTAATGTGGTGTAACTGTGAATATTATACTTTTTATTATTGTCCATTTAACTATTCTTGCTATCCCAATTTGTGCCTTGCTTGGACATTGGTATTGTAGTTGTCACGTCCTGTATTTCTGTTGGAAAAAAGAAACAAAAGGAAGCAAACAGAGCAAAACGAGTTTCAATTGGAAAAATGTAGATAGGTCCATCCATGTTTCGTTCTGTTTGCTCCTGTTTAAGAAACGTTTTGCAACAGAATCGGCGGAATGAATATACCCCTGTTTGCATAGATTGAACACTTTGCATTGGCAGCACATGCTTCAGTGGTCTGGGAGTGTTTATATCCCTGTGAGTTTAACACTTCATGACTGAGAGCTGTCCTTCATGACAACAGAACCCACAACAAACATGACTTTTATCACCATCTTCATCTGGACACTTGTCTTCTACATACAAGGTATAAGAATGATTAATATCTAAGTAATGATAATTGAGTAAGTAATCATGCTTATCTCAGGATAATGTATTCATTACATATTTCAGATATTAAAAAGTGTTCTGTTTGTTTCTCTCACCATTTAATATTCAGAATCCAGAGGACAGTACACTCTGACTCAGACACCTGCAGTGAAAGCTGTTGGCACTGGAGAGACGGTCAACATTGGCTGTAAACTCAGCAGTGGTATTTATGGGAGTAACCTGCACTGGTACCTACAGAGACCTGGAGAAGCTCCTAAACTCCTCATTTATAACATTAACAGCAAGTTCACTGGGACTCCATCTAGATTCAGTGGCAGTGGATCTGGGAGTGACTTCACTCTGACCATCAGTGGAGTCCAGGCTGAAGATGCAGGAGATTACTACTGTCAGAGTTACCACAGTGGTGGAGTGTTCACACAGTGATACAGAGCCGTACAAAAACCTCCCTCAGTCAGACTGCACAGTGACTGTACTGCTACAGCTGGGACCTACTGCAGGTGCTGAGGGGAGGAGACAGTGACATGGAACACTGATTAGTGAAGTCAACTTTGAACATGTTTAGAAAGCATCATCATGTTCCCCATCATCATCATCATCATCATCATCATCGTTATCATGGTTATAATTCATTATATTTGTCATGACCTGAAAGTTCACTTAAAAAAGTTTGATATTTTGAAACCAAATATTTATGTATTTATTTTATCTTTATTTTACCTTTATTTTCCCAGGCTAGTCTCATTGAGATTAAACATCTATTTTATAAGAGAGGCCCGGACAAAATAGCAGCACACAAAGCTTTACACACAATTTACAACATAAAACACAAAGCACTACAGTTTAAAACCATACATTTACACATTGAGCATCCCAAACCTCTCCTTAAGTACCCGAGGAAGTCCACATATTATTTTATTCCAGAATTAGTACAGCTGATTTACCTAATGAGGGGCTTGCTGATTAGGTGACCATTAGAATCAGCTGTGCTAGTTCTGGAACACATCAAATAAGTGGACTGTCTGGGGGACTTAAATAGTCGGCAGGTAGCTTAGTGGTTAAGAGCGTTGTGCCAGTAACCGAAAGGTCGCTGGTTCTAATCCACGAGCTGACTAGGTGAAAAATCTGTTGATGTACCCTTGAGCAAGGCACTTAACCCTGTTTCTGCTAAAGAAAAGGTTTGGGAGACACTGCCCTGAAATGACCTGTGGTGCAGTCAACACAAAACCTCTCTCCTGTCACGCCCTGCTAGAACCTTCCAACACCAACCCAGCCTTCAATTGAGCCCAGCCGAGGCTAGTTTACCAATCAAGGCTATGATTGGCTGGGCAATCAGCCACTCCACTCTTCAAATACACTGTCTCTGTGGGACTAAGAAAGTCTGGAGTTTATATGTTAGTTGTACACCATAGCAAAACGTTTTGCATTGGAAAAATATTATTTATCTATTTTATAAGAGAGGCCCGGACAAAATAGCAGCACACAAAGCTTTACACACAATTTACAACATAAAACACAAAGCACTACAGTTTAAAACCATACATTTACACATTGAGAAGGCAATAATTATTTGGGGAGATGTGCTGCATCTAGGGGTCAAAACATTGACAGCCCCCCACTTCATTGTCCACCATAGTTTTTACTTTAGCTACAGTAGTCAGTCAAAGAGACAAGCTCCTGCAATTTCATGTCCCTTTGAAGCTCCTTCCAAGTGGAAGGGCCAGAGAACTGGAACACTTTTTTTACCCAGCTCTGTACAGGACTTAGACACAGTCAACAAGACACAGTCATGTGTAGACGATTGTTGTCATATGTCTGCTGGACAATTTAGGTTCACAGGTCAAATGGGAGCTATTACCAGTCCACATGAGAAGCCAAACAAAAGGTGTAATGACCTTTACATTACTTAAACGTTACAATCACTTCAGCCCCCCCAAAACAAGTTCCCAAATTGACCTCACAACCAAATGTCTGATTTTAATGGATGTATTCATATACAGCAAAATATTAACATTTTTCCCCGAATAGATTACTGACTGCTAGACCTGTGAATGAGACCTGATGCTGGACTCAACCATGAGACACATGTACACTATTTACATACACTATCTACACTACACTATCTACACTACACTATCTACACTATTTACATACACTATCTACACTATTTACATACACTATCTACACTATATACACTATCTACATAAAGTATAATACTCATTTTATCTGTCATTAATTACATTATGCCATATCTGTTATGTCTCCATTCCTGCATCCACCATAGAGGTTAAAACCAGTCACTCTCTCATATCTGGCCCAGTCCAGGGTATTTCAGGCAGTGAAACTGTTCAACTGCTAGACTGTTAGCTGTGAGAGTGAAACTGAGATTTACATAGACAGGGCTGGGTGGTTCTGCTTGTCCCAGAATAGAGCAGCACTGTCACCAGACGTTCACTCTGTCCCCAGGGGATTGATAGGTAGAGAAGATCTGGGGAAATATAATGGAGAAGTTTAGACTACACATTGTTGAAAACCATTGCTGAAGCATTTATTTTAATAAAATCATATTAGGCATTAAACACCATAAATGTACATATTTTATGGAAAGTAACTATTTAGAGGTGTGAGTTCTGAGAGCAGATCTTAGAGGTTTATTATCAAATATCACTAATTATTATCACTGTTATTGGTACTACAGTATAACAGGATAATTCAGTTGTAGAAAGGATTGCAGAGTATTTGTTGTATCAGATGCCCTTTTAATTCTGTTTGAAAACATGAGAGTAGCTATCTGCTACAATGCTAAATTATGAAAGAAGCTGATAAATTTAAATTAGAATGAAATGTGCTACCTATTCATGAGATAGTGATCACTGGAATCATGATTAAATCAACTAAATGGCATATTATTATTATTATTATTATATTTAAATCAAAACAAGCTTTATTTGAACTCAGAGGCAAGATGACATGCACAACTTAATCTCAAAATAGTTCATTTAGCACTCAGCATTACTGATATTATTCACTGTTATACTTTAACATTCAGCACTAAAACACTAATGTTTCCTTCATTAACACCATGTGGGGACTCTCTAGCCCCCTACAATGGCTTCTAGACACTACAGTGACTTCTCCGGAAGGCAGCTGAATCACTGGTGTCGTCGTGGGTGACCCTGCAGGTGTACACCTCTCCCTCTACCCAGAGTGCCTTGCTCAGGGTTAGGGTGCTGCTGTGGCTGTAGAGGCCGCCCTTCTCTTCTTCTGTGGTGGTCAGGACCCCCTCCGTCACCTCCTCCCCGTTCACCTACCAGCTCACCATCGCCCCCAGTGTGGCCGAGAGCTGCTCAGAGGACGGGGGGAGCAAAGACACTGTGGGCCTGACAGATGGACCAGCTGGAAGAGAGGAGAGGAGGGTCAGCTACTACTACTCTATAATGGAATATATTAGGAGAGGAGAGGAGAGGAGAGGAGAGGAGAGGAGAGGAGAGGAGAGGAGAGGAGAGGAGAGGAGAGGAGAGGAGAGGAGAGGAGAGGAGAGGAGAGGAGAGGAGAGGAGAGGAGAGGAGAGGAGAGGAGAGGAGAGGAGAGGAGAGGAGAGGAGAGGAGAGGAGAGGAGAGGGTCAGCTACTACTACTACTGCTACTACTACTACTACTACTACTACTACTACTACTGCTACTACTACTACTACTACTACTACTACTACTACTACTACTACTACTACAGCGACTACTACTACTAGTACTACGACTACTACTACTACTACTACTACAGCGACTACTACTACTAGTACTACTACTACTCTATAACATTAGGAGAGGAGAAGGGAGAATAACTGCACAGAGGAGGGGGGAGAAAATACCTTGGCCGTGTCTGAAAACCCATACTACCGTACTAAATAGTATGCGAAAAAATAGTGTTTTCTAGTATGTGAAATTTTGAACAGAGTCCTCCGAATGCGTCCGCTAATGCGCGATTGCATTGACTCCAGCCATTCGTTCATTTTTGTACAGAGTGGCAATTTATCTGATTATCAGCTGTTGCCAAACACGTGTCAGAAAAGACAAGTGAATTCTTCTTGATTAAACGCCAAAATGAGTAAGCAATTTAAGTATACAGTAGGCTAATATGGGTATTCGGACACGGCCACTGTGTTATCAGCATGCAGCTGGGAGAAGGGAATTATAATTATTATATTCAGCCCAAGGGCACAACGGCCACTGGCCGCAAAAGGCGTGGATTTTTGAAGTGGGTATTACGGCCACACAAAGGGGATGCCACCAGGAAATTCTAGGCATTATCAAGTGCTTGTCAGATTGTGAATTAGAGACTGATGAAGTGTGTACAGCCTGCACAAAAAACAAAGCAGAGTTCATGCCTTTCAAGCAACTTTTTTCTAATCATCATTAGAGTTTCGTCATGCAGCCTTAGAATGTATTAAAAATCAGAACATATAGCCCAACATTGTATCACTACTAAAGTTAAATAAATAACTCTAAATTAAGCATATCGGAGTACCTATTTCTTTGTTAACCGCTCAACACAGAATAAGCCGCATGTGCGCACTCCCTCAAATCGTATGGAGAAAATATCCTTCCTATTTTATTCAGCTATATTCATTTGTATTCTTCATACTATAAAATAATGTAAAATAATGCCATGGAATTCTAAGCAAATCTTGTCAGCTAAATTAACTAGTGTAGCCAACAGCCATATGGCATAGCCAGATCAGGGCCTAACATAAGGACAACTCGGGGCGGCAGGTAGCTTAGTGGGTAAGAGCGTTGTGCCAGTAACCGAAAGGTCGCTGGTTCTAATCCCCGAGCCGACTAGGTGAAAAATCTGTCGATGTGCCCTTAAGCAAGGCACTTAACCCTAATTGCTCTGGATAAGAGCGTCTGCTAAATGACTAAAATGTAAATGTAACTCAGAGTATGCTATTCTGTTCTTCTGAAATAGACTACATTTTCTTCATATCATGTTTCTTTAGACCTGTCTTGAATAAATAATGGGCAGAGTGTGATATACAGTGGGGAAAAAAAGTATTTAGTCAGCCACCAATTGTGCAAGTTCTCCCACTTAAAAAAGTGGTCCTCTGTAGCTCAGCTGGTAGAGCACGGCGCTTGAAACGCCAAGGTAGTGGGTTCAATCCCCGGCACCACCTATACACAAAAATGTATGCACGCACGACTGTAAGTCGCTTTGGATAAAAGCATCTGCTAAATGGCATATTATTATTAAAAAGATGAGAGAGGCCTGTAATTTTCATCATAGGTACACGTCAACTATGACAGACAAAATGAGAAAAAAAATCCAGAAAATCACATTGTAGAATTTGTAATGAATTTATTTGCAAATTATGGTGGAAAATAAGTATTTGGTCAATAACAAAAGTTTCTCAATACTTTGTTATATACCCTTTGTTGGCAATGACACGGGTCAAACGTTTTCTGTAAGTCTTCACAAGGTTTTCACACACTGTTGCTGGTATTTTGGCCCATTCCTTCATGCAGATCTCCTCTAGAGCAGTGATGTTTTGGGGCTGTCGCTTGGCAACACGGACTTTCAACTCCCTCCAAAGATTTTCTATGGGGTTGAGATCTGGAGACTGGCTAGGCCACTCCAGGACCTTGAAATGCTTCTTACGAAGCCACTCCTTCGTTGCCCGGGCGGTGTGTTTGGGATCATTGTCATGCTGAAAGACCAGGCACGTTTCATCTTCAATGCCCTTGCTGAAGGAAGGAGGTTTTCACTCAAAATCTCACGATACATGGCCCCATTCATTCTTTCCTTTACACGGATCAGTCGTCCTGGTCCCTTTGCAGAAAAACAGCCCCAAAGCATGATGTTCCACCCCCATGCTTCACAATAGGTATGGTGTTCTTGGATGCAACTCAGCATTCTTTGTCCTCCAAACACGACGAGTTGAGTTTTTACCAAAAAGTTATATTTTGGTTTCATCTGACCATATGACATTCTCCCAATCCTCTTCTGGATCATCCAAATGCACTCTAGCAAACTTCAGACGGGCCTGGACATGTACTGGCTTAAGCAGGGGGACACGTCTTGCACTGCAGGATTTGAGTCCCTGGCGGCGTAGTGTGTTACTGATGGTAGGCTTTGTTACTTTGGTCCCAGCTCTCTGCAGGTCATTCACTAGGTCCCCCCGTGTGGCTCTGGGATTTTTGCTCACCGTTCTTGTGATCATTTTGACCCCACGGGGTGAGATCTTGCGTGGAGCCCCAGATCGAGGGAGATTATCAGTGGTCTTGTATGTCTTCCATTTCCTAATAATTGCTTCCACAGTTGATTTCTTCAAACCAAGCTGCTTACCTATTGCAGATTCAGTCTTCCCAGCCTGGTGCAGGTCTACAATTTTGTTTCTGGTGTCCTTTGACAGCTCTTTGGTCTTGGCCATAGTGGAGTTTGGAGTGTGACTGTTTGAGGTTGTGGACAGGTGTCTTTTATACTGATAACAAGTTCAAACAAGTGCCATTAATACAGGTAACAAGTGGAGGACAGAGGAGCCTCTTAAAGAAGAAGTTACAGGTCTGTGAGAGCCAGAAATCTTGCTTGTTTGTAGGTGACCAAATACTTATTTTCCACCATAATTTGCACATAAATTCATTAAAAATCCTACAATGTGATTTTCTGGATTTTTTTTCTCAATTTGTCTGTCATAGTTGACGTGTACCTATGATGAAAATTACAGGCCTCTCTCATCTTTTAAGTGGGAGAACTTCCACAATTGGTGGCTGACTAAATACTTTTTTCCCCCACTGTACATGTGATACAGATATTATTTAGGAATGGATCTGATCAGAATATCCTTTTCATATGCATAGTATTTGCAGAATTTGAGCATAAATTAGTTTTAATCACATATAAACCATGTTAGTTCATGAAGTTGGTTACAAACATAACTGAGACCCTTTGTCTTCACACTAACAGTGAAGGCTACCATGAACTCAATGCAACAATAATGACTACTATATCCAGTACTATTAAATAGTCATCATTCCAGAATTAAGAGTTACATTCTGCAATCATACAAATCAGACATACAAATTAACCTACAATTTACATTTTAGATTTTATTTATTTTTATTGAAAGGCTCAGTCAAAAGCAATTAAAACCTTTTGAAAATCTAAAATCGCAATATTTTCATAGAGACAGAGTGTAAGAATAACATTTGAAATAAATAAATAAATAAAGTATTTTTTGTTTTGTTTTGTTTTTCCTTCAAAATTGCAAAACCTGTTTATTGAACATTTCCTACAAGGTGCAGTATATTTTATTCATACACCTAATACAATGTAGGCTAATCACTCTCATCGTTTAAAGGCAGGTCAAATTTAATTAGATGAAATGACATACTTATTAAAATTGGCCATATTATTTGTAGGCTTTGTATATTTTTTTCCAAAATCATGTAAAAGAAAGTAAGTAAAACAATTCTCAATATCGAGGCTAACTTCGTATAGTTTAATAAATTTTTTTGTTTCCTTACTTCCAACATCAAGTCTGGTGCAGCTACCAAAAGTCCACCACAGTGATACAATCCCTATTACTGCTGGTACAAAAACCTCTCTGTGTTGTGATGCTGCAGCTGTTACAGTGAATATCTGTCACGAATACAAGCTGAGGCTGCCCCTCCTCCTTGCTCGGGCAGGCTTCGGCGTTTGCCGTCACCGGAGTACTAGCTACCACCGATCGATGTTTCTGTGTTACACTAGTCTTGTCTTTATTATTCACACCTGTTACCCATTATGCTTATTTGTTTCCCTATAATTATCTCTGTTTTCCCTCCTGGGTTTGTGCGTGATTGTCCGTTGTTTTACGTCGTTTGGTGAACTGTTGTTCTGGTTTACTTTTGTTTTAGTAAATCCATTCATTTCTCAGTTCTGTGTCCTGCGCCTGATTCCGTTTCACCACTTCACCCAGACGTTGACAGAATCACGCACCATCTATGGAGTCAGAGGGCAAGTCCTATCCCAGCGCCTCGGTAGAGGAACGCATCCAGCAGCACTCGACCATGCTGCAGACTCTAGGTTCGGCTATGGATCGAGTGGTGAACACCATGGATCGATGGGAGAGAGGTAGGTTTCCTACACTTCCTCCTCCTCCGATTTCTCCCCCATCAAGACCATCAAACCCTGGATCCAGTGGAATTCGGCTCTGGCTCCCGAGGGAATATGATGGGACAGCTGCCGGGTGTAAGGGTTTCCTGCTCCATGTGTGGCTCTACCTGGCAACCATCCACCCGGCTCCCTCGGGATACGAGAGAGTGTCCGCCCTCATCTCCTGTCTGTCGGGCAGAGCGCTGGAATGGGCCAACGCGAAGTGGGGTGGAATAGACGTTGAGTCCGTACGTTACGATGATTTTACCCAC